AAAAGGAATATTTTTCGATTGAGAACCCTGCTACAACTGTTATTGTATAGTGTGCGATTTGATTCAAGTTGATCATTGTTTTTCTTGAAAGCAGGGAATTTAAAATTCTTGTAAAGTAAAAACGTTAATAGCTTATTTAAGAGAAGCTTTTGGTTTGGGTTTTGGTAACTATCGTTGTGCGAATTGTGTTCTACGTGAAATTCTTGTGAAGACACATGTATCAGAATGATTAAATTCGTACCTTGTCCACTAGTCCACTGCCTGCAACACATGCAAAACCTCTCACGAGAATATACCTACGGCTTCTATAAAGCATCTATAAACTGGGTGATCTCAAAATAATCTACAGTTTTTTGCTTTTTTTAAAAATTGAGGGTGGGTTCCGAATTTTCATTATACACCTCATAAAATACAGAATTAGGGAGACAAAAATGATGATAAGTGGCTTCGAATTTCGCGTACTGGCTAACCAACACCACCAAATAATGTGGTGGCTGTGGGGTTTGCAATTGCCAAGTAGTGCCACAAATAACGTATGGGTTTGAGGTACGCGTGTCGGAGAACACGCGTAACCTCAAACCCATGCGTTATTTGTATTGTTTTTTACGTTATTTGAGGTACGCGTGTCAGAGAACACGCGTACCTCAAGCCGCGTCCCTGCAAATTTCCTGTCATTCAATAATTTCTGAAGGAAAACTGATGGACACTATAAATTGGAATCTTCATCGAATATTTCTTCGTTCGACAAAAAAAGATATTCTGTAAAATAAGAAATGTAATTTCCGTAATGTGCGTGTACCATTCCGTAAAATCTTAAAAAATAATCTTCACTGGGTTTTATTTTTTAAAAAATTTATGATTAATTTAATATTATTGCAACATTGATTCATGCATTAGCTATTTTTCACCTCCGAATCATCAAAATGTGAGTCATCGACATTCAGAGGTAAAAACCCTTTGCCTCCTCTGATCTGGCAATATTTTTTACCGTCAACCGAACGGACACCGGGGGTGTTTATGGAGTGTATTCACAGCATGAACAACAATTAAAGTCCTAATTAAGGAGGCGTGATGAATGGGGCGAGCGGAGCTGTAATTAGCGAGGGCAAAAGGATTGGGGATGCGAGAGAGGGGTTGGGTGCGGGGCAGGGCAAGGGATTACCAAGTTCCAAGAGGGCCGCTCCGCGTAAGGTAACGCAACCCAAGAAACCGAACCCAGTGTTTGCGGGAAACATGACGCGTTATGGAACGAAACACGAGACGATCAAAATTAATGCGTGCGTCCATACAACTTTGCCGGTTCTGATGGAGAAAATATCCACGTAAATTGCTCTTTTCTGAGGGATACTTAAATTCCGATGAGCTTTGGCAACCTACTTGCGGAATATGCGGTCGTGGTCGCGCGTCATACTCATAAAATCTTCAATCTCACAATTTTCCGGGTGCAGAAATTCGGCATCTCTGAAAAGTTCGGCAGGATGATCAGTTTCATCGATTCGTGATCTTCCGGCCAAAGTATCACAAGCGCCGTGCAAAGTTTCAAAATTTCCGCCGCAATTTTATTTTTTCACAGAGAAATCGTTGGTTGAATCCGTTTGAAAATTTCAATGAATTTTATCGGCAGCAGAAAGAAAATTCAGTGAACTTTTCGGACAGCTTTGTTGAACAATTTCTCTGTAAAGAAAAATAAAATGGCAGCGGAAATTTTTAAACGGTCGCATGGCGCTTGTGATACTTTGGCCGGTAGGTGACGAATTAAGGAACTATTTTTTGTCAGTTCGTGGGCAGCCGTTCTCCGCTCCCGCTCTGGGAAAAAAACACATTGGATCTAGAGTCCAGACTCTTAAAAACATCGACATGAAAAAGTAATCTTGATTCAATCAGAATCTAGCTTAAATCAAGAACCAAACCTCTTATTTTAAGCGGATTTCGTTTTGATTCGAGCAAAAATCCGATTGAATCAAGAGTATTTTTTATTGTCCATGTTTTCAGAAGTCTGGACTCTAGATCCAATGTGGTTTTTTTCCAGTGCGTTCTATTTATTTTTTATCATTTCTTGAAGTTTTCACTGTTTCCTTCGCGCAGAGAGGAACAATTACGGAAAGTAGCAAAAATTGACGTTGAACAGTTTTACATTTAAAACTTAAAATATAACAGAAAGTCTGCAACGTCGCAAACTGAGAAACGAGGGTCTGGTAGTTTCACCCTCGATTTTAGTTCATACGTTAATGTTTCAATGTTATAGTTATTATCCCCCATGTAACAGTCAGATGCTCTCTGACGAAAAATTCGCTGTGAACACAACAACGTGTGTTAGAATATCGCGTAAATGTAGTATAATTTCTCCATCACATGCTTATACATTGTATGAAGTTTAAGTTCGATTATTGGTTCAGGCGCATTTACCATTCGCCAATTGTAACGTCATGCGTCAGTGCTGAAGAAATAAGGGTGAAAGAGATTTAAGAGGAACGAACTGAAGAAATAAAAGAGAGAAAGAAGTGAGAAGTAATGAGAGAGGGGAAGGAGATTGAAGAGAGGAGGAAGAAAAAATGAATAGGAAATTAGAAAATTAAATAGCTTTTCAACACGGGGGAAAGATCATATGAACGCCTTGTCAGTTCGCCTTCAATTTCAGTGTAGGCAATACAAGCTCTCACATAGTCCGAATAGTGGTACTGTCGTGAGATGCAGGCCCGCCACAAGGGGGGGGNGGGGGGGGGGGGGGGGTTACTGGGTCCCTGGTACCGGGGCCCGGACCCCGGAGGGGGCCCGTGTTACCCGTGAAAAACCACTAAGAATTCACATGCAACCCTTGTTTTGTAAGAAAAAGTGAAAAATTTACCCTAAAAATTTCGCAAAAGGTGAATAGATTTTCAGAAACACGCTGGGGCACTGTAGAATTCTTCTTAAATTTTCAAAGAAGTAAATTTCTTGGAAAATGTCTATCTATTTTCAAGATTTTCAGTACACAGGGATATTTTTAGTAACTGCGTTTCATTTTCTTCCGTCGTCAGATGCTAAGGGTCTCCAGTCTGGGCATCCTCGACTTCAAAGGCTCATGAATCAGTTACCTTGCCACAGACAAACGAAGGGGGAGTCCAGGGGGGCCTGGCCCTCATAGAACCGAAAATAGTATCATATGCCCCCCCCCAAAAAAAAAAAAAAAAAAAAATCCGGATGTTTTGAATGCAACAATTCGCAAGTATTTTGTGCTGAAAGTATAAAAGAAAAAAAAAGAAAAAACATATTATTCTGCAGCAATTGATGGAAAAAGTCTTTATGGAAGCTTCGAATTGCGTCCGGTTAGTCGTATAAATTCTAAAATTTCTCGGTGGATGCCCCTCGGAACCCCCCTCCCCCCCCCCACCTCCGTGCTTGGGGCCCGGACATTAAATCTGGTACCAGGGAATGAGATAGGATGTGGCGAGCCTGCAAGAAGGCTATTTCCATGTAAATCTTCCGTCACATTCATACGGCGCAATGATACAACTATTTGAACTCTCCGGAATGCGTGAGGTATCACGCCGCATTTGAAGGCGTTTTCAAAACAGCCAAGTTCCGATACCCGGATTATCGTTTTGCATAGTACGTATTATATTGATTCCATTTCTAACCACTTGTTTCATTATAATCCTCGTAGAAAAACCACCCATTTGCTGAATACAATTCTAGCTGGAGCGCATTTCAGCTATGCATTCACCACTGCAAAAATTTCAGAGGAAATCAACAAGCCCAGCGTGCATGGAGGCTATTTCCATTTAAATCTTCCGTCACATTCTTACGGCGCAATGATACAACTATTTGAACTCTCCGGAATGCGTGAGGTATCACGCCGCATTTGAAGGCGTTTTCAAAACAGCCAAGTTCCGATATCTGAATAATCGGTTTGCATAGTTCATAGTATTTTGTTTTCATTTCTACCCACTTGTTCATTTATAATCCTCCTATAAAAACCACCCATTTGCTAAATACAATTCTAGATGAAGCGCACCTAAGCGCATTGACTGCAAAAATGTTAACGGAAATCGAAAAGGCCGGCGTGCATGAAGGCTATTTCAATTGTAATCTTCCGTCGCATTTCTAAGGCGCAATGATACAACTATTTGAACTCTCCGGAATGTGCGAGGTATCACGCCGCGTCTGAAGGCGTTTTCAAATCAGCCAAGTTCCGATACCCGGATTATCGTTTTGCATAGTTAGTTTATGCATAGTAATTTTTCTGCAGTGATTGATGAAAAATCGGCGCCACGAAGGCCTCAAAAAAAGTCCAAATAGATTTAAAATTTCAAAAAATGTTCGAGGGAAGTCCTCCGGACCCCTCTCTGAGCTGAGATGTATTCCATACCCCCCCCCCACCCCAACTCCCCCCTTAGTCGGGGAGGGGGGGAGGGACCTCGCTCACCTGACCAAGCCCCCCTCGAAACAAAATCATGGCTACGTGCCTGGCGTGATTCGATTACTGTACGAAACGAAACGAGATGTTTCATTATAGATCGCCTTAAAATTTAATAAAAAGAAAAAATAAAGAAAAAAATACAACTGCACGTGATTTGGTACTCTTATAATTTCTCCTACACTTTTAAAAATATTAAAACGCGAGATATCCAAAATCTAAGCTCAGATTCGGATTCCTCGTGAATAATCGATGTAATTTCATGTATCATACGTTATGATTCCATGAAGGTAAGAAAAATTATCTATCATCGTCACGGAAATTCTTTGGAACGAAACCTAGGCGCCAGTTGGCGCCGGCGCTAAGGCTGGACAAACATTGGACGAATTCCGGGTAGCTGTAAGCTGGCGGCATGAATAAAAGGAAAAGGGTTTTCAAGTTGAGACGGTTGAGATTGCTAGACGGAGTGGCGCGATAAATTCTTCTTCTTCCTACATCATAACGATTAGGATCTGATTGGCTCATTTGAATACTGCCCGGCTGGGCTAGGGCTGGGCTGCCGCTCTCAAGAAGCGCGGGAAAAGCACATGTGAGAAGTGAAATTGAGGTTATATTTTTGTTTTGATCTGTGGTCGCAGTCAAAAATTGTTGATTAAGTTTATTTTCATTCTCTGTCAAATTTGTTTTTTAATGAAGTATGTTTCCTTGTCCCCCTAAAGTATTGCTCATTTGCTCTGAAATTTTGTGAAGTCCTCAATTTTTCCTCGAAGTAAAAATGTATTTCTACAGCTGAGAAGCAGGGTTCCTTCCAAAAGGGAACCAAGACGTACGTACCTAGGCCATTTGGTGAGTATGCATTCAGGAAAAATACTTTTCAAAATTTAAAACAAGAACTCTTGAACCCCATGACTTTGAAGGTTGCGATGAACCTAGGAATTAAGTATGATATGTTTCTGTGAGAGTTTTTATCCTTGTTAAGGGAACAGGACAAAAACAAGAAGAGAATCGATCTTCAGTCGCCCGATTATTGAAAGCTAAAAGCAGCCTGATACAACAACGAATTGCGATATATTGCATGGTTAAGATAGGGCTATGTCTTGTCGTATTGTATCGACATAGTTTCAATAATTGAGCTGCTGTGCAAATTTAGGTATGTTCTGTTAAGATTATTTGAATGAATAAGTCCTTCTTATTTTCTGTCATCAAACACAAAATGAATTAAATATTCAATCTTTCCTACTCTTTAAATACTGAATTACTGACATGCCTTGAAATTATTTCACTTTGCTGCAAGAATTTTAGAGGATGTCGAAGAAGACTTTTTACATTGCACCATGAACAGAGCAAATTTCAAGAACTTCTAGTGGAATCCAGCGGAATAACTGAATTCTCTTTCTGTACATATCGACGGTGAAAGTCGGCAATCACATAATTTGTTTGCGGTGTCTGAAAATCTCCGCCTGTACGTCATTTTTAAAGGAGAACAAATTGACATTATTTCTTGAAGTTTTTGCAGAATTTTCTTCGAATTAAGAAGAAAAATCATGACAGTTTTAAAGAATTGCCGTTGAGTAGTGTTCCATTTAAAAAATGAAGTATGACAGGAAGTCTGCGACGTCGCAAACCGAGTTATGTGATTGCCGACTTACACTGTCGATATGCTTCTTTTCAGGGTTAAATTGAAATTTGAACCAACTCTAAAAGTAGGTACTCAGTTATTTAAATTTACTCAAAGATAGGAAAAATTGTCCGTTTATGGCACTGTGCCCAAGGGCCTCTTAAAGCTCAAGTGAAGATCATATGGTGCCATCAGAAGCTGTTTAAGGAACGATTGTGAACACGGTCCCAAGGTGACACTGATCAACACAAACATGTTAATTTAGTGGCTCCAAAAATATGTTCAGCACCGAAGCCCGGAAAGACTTATTTCACCGCAATTCTGCATTCTAAATTACTCACTTAGGTATGCTGCAAATAATTATTTAATTTGTTTTCTTTGCCTGTGGATAGAATGGACCGAGGTAATAATCTCCGGGGTAGAGGTCAAAATAGTAACCCTCGTGGAAGAGGAAATGCATCAAGAGGTGATTGGTATCGTGGCAGGAATGGAAAATGGATGAACCGTAACTGGAGAGGAGGTGGAGGTAGGAGTAGAGGAGGCAGAGCAGGCGGGTCTTTTGCTAGAAACAACAGTGGAGGAGGAAATAATTTTGATGGCAGAAGGAGAAACAATGGTGGATCCAGTGGTAGTGAAGAAGATGCAGATGGTAATGATTTATTTTAAGTTTTTAATTTTCCTCCATACCTGCATAATGATGGTGAAACTACCAGACCAGGTATCTTGGTTTGCAACGTTGAAGACCTCCTGTCATATTTTATTTTTTAAATAGAAAACTGCTGAACGTCAATTCTTGAAATCTTTGTTATTTTTCTTCACTGTGCGAAGAAAACTTTGTGCAAATTTCAAGGAAAGATAATGATTTGTTCTTCTTCATAATAATAAAATGGGAGCGGAGATTTTTAAACACAGCTAACGAGATACATGGTCTGGTAGTTTCACCATCGTTAAGGCCTTATCCACATGTGCAGAGTAGGTACCTAGAACTTTGGCAGAATAAGTTACCTGTAGCTTGTCATAACTGGTCCCTTTTACGCACAGAAAAAGGGTGAAAAATGATGCGCAGCTGAAATTTCCGTGAATCGTTGCTTGTGTAGGCAAGGCCTAAGGAATATGTTCCAGCGGAGGGATTTTTGTAAAGATGGGTCAAAAAGTTAGAATTTGAGTTACTGGCAGATCTTTTGAGTTTTTACCAGTATCCAAGTTGCAAGTTGTTTAGTTCATTTTTGTGCCTGTATGAAGAGTGAATAGTTACATTTGAATCCTATAATGGGCCTTTGAAATTCCATTTTGTGATCAGCAAACTGTACGTGGTCATAGATCTAGTCTGGTTCAATTTTGTTGAAAACCTATTGTAGCAAAATGGTAAGTACCAAGACACTCTGCCAGACAGTAATACTGATACTATCTCGATGGACCACTAGACAAGGTACAAATTTCGGCATTCTGATACATGTTTCGTAACTAAAATTTCACGTAGAACACAATGTGCACAACAAAAATTACCAAAATTAACTCCTTTCGAAGATATTTAATGTTTCTTGATGCGTGAATTGAAACCACCCGCTCATGAAAACTCAATGCTCTACGTGATTCACATCGCGCGCTAAACGTTATCATGACAGTCTCTGCGATATAAAAATCTGGCAACCTCAATCTTGATGCTTTGGCTCAGCTATAGCAAATTGCTAATAGTTTGAACAGCACATGGTCGGAAAGGAACATTGCTCGATTGAGAAGCTTGCTGAAACCATTGTAGTGCACGATTTGACTCACGTAGAGCTTTGAGTTTCTTGTGAGCGGGCAGTTCAAATTCCTCGTAACCAATGTGAAATAAAAACGTTAATATCTTCGTTAGGAGTTGAATTCAGTCATTTTTGTTATGTGAATCGTGTTCTGCATGAAATTCTGGTTAAGAAACATGTATCAGATTGCTTAAATTCGTACCTTGTCTAGTGGTCCATTTTGAGTTTGTTGGCATGAAGGTCCCATACCCTGAGGTTAATCACAAATTAGTTTTTTCTTTTTGATACTTGGACTCCGCAGAATAAATGTTTTTGAATTGAAGTCCTTCCATAAGTTCCTTTAAAATTTGAAAGCTTCCAAATGGCTAAGCTTTAGATTATCGCACTTTCTCTTTGCATTCTTCATGCGTAGATTATTATTTTTCATATTCCTTTGGTAATGTCCTTTTTTTCTCAGATCCTGGTATGCCCTCACAAAATGAAGTCACTACTATTCAGGGTAACTTGGTTAATACTGTTCAAGTAAATACAGGACCATATAAAGGCTGGAAATTATATTTTCCTGAAGAGGGTAAGAATGTTGTATGCTATTTTTGTTTCACACAATTTTATCATTTATGGAAGAATTTTCAGCAGAAACTATACCTAATTAAATCGAAATTAACAGAAGAGAACCATTTTGATTACAGTGTTCGCAGTTTATCTTTATCTCAAAAAGTGCCCAGAATAGGAAATTGTGTTTGTTTCTCGATCATAAATTTGTTAATTTTGAAAGCAAAGGTTGTGTTTTTATAACTGGACGTCTATTTAGTACTTTTTTAATAAAAAAAGAAACGATTGCAGTGATTGAAAACACTGTAACTGAGTCGGTTCCCCTTTATAAAATTCAATTAATATAGTCAAGGATGCAGAAAGTTCACAATCCACCATGTTTTAAATTGGCTTTCTATCTACCTACAAACTCCTTTTTCACTCAAAATTTCATTCAGTGCCATTAGCTGTTTTTGCTGCAAGTACATTGAAAAATAGAAATAGAAAAATTAAGCAGCCTGATTTTGGAGGAAAAAAATTTGTATGAAAATGTAAATGAGCAATTTATTGAATTATGCATTAGAAAACGAATTCTGTCAAACATCAAGTTTATAAGTCAACCACTTATAGCTTCCTTACCCTAGCCAGCCTAATTTTCATAGTTGGACATAGACCAATTATTATTCGATCATAATTACTCTTATTTTTCTTTTTTCCCCAGCATATCGTGATGGAAATCCAACAGTGCACAAAATCAAGGTTTTCGAGCTCTACATTCAGAAGAATAAGCAGTTTTATTCGCCCTCAAATATTCAGAATCAGAAAGCATTTCCCGTCGATGTTAAAAGTCTTATAGCTGACGAGGAGTTTTTAGGAGAATGGTCCAGTTTTAATGATGAGTTGACAAACAATCCAGAGCATGTTTTGAATAGCCTTAGCCTTGCTATGCACCAGGTAATTCTCACAGTTGGTTTTTATTTTCTTTCTGTCAAAATTTTGAAAAATGCTCATAAATTTCAATTTCTCTTGATTTGAAGTGCTTGATTCCTGATTTCGGTTTGTTGCCAAACTTTTCAAATGTGTCCAATTTTTTACAGGAAAAGTAATGAAAAGAACTGATTCTCCAAGTCCTTGACATAATATTAAAAGATTTGTCTATTCAGAGTCCTCCACTTATCAATTTTTTTGTTTTTTCCCCCCAAAAAATTTCTAAATGATAGTTTTCTAAGATCTGAATTCGAATTTTGTTATCTAAATTAAAACTTAAAAATGACTTAAAAATACAGAAAGGTAAAATATGCCTTGATATCCCATGTGAAGGTATGCCAGTAATCTGAGGAACTGTTAATAATGGAAAATAGGTGCACTGTTAAGATTCTAGTTAGGTTTCAAGTTTTTTATGCTTTAAAAATTAAACATTTTTTTAGCTTTTCAAATGTATTCAAGTAGTTACTTATCTCATTTGTGTTTCTCCGGTTTTAGTATGTTTTGGAGGAGCTTGAGAAGAAATTGGAAAGTGAGGTTGATGAAAAAGTTGATGTACAACTGCCCACCATTCGAGCTCGTGTATCCAATTTTGAGCCGTTGATTCTTTTGAAAAATCTAAAAGCAAACTATTACGGTATCTATGAAACATTTGTACATATATTTTTCCCTCTTCTCATTAAATCACATGGCAAACCTCTGATTTATATAATTGATTTTCAAGTATTTTACCCGTGAGTATATTGGCCATCTTAAAATTTGAAATGCACTCTATGCAGATATGAAGTTAAGCCATAACAGTGAACATAGTAGTCACAAACTTTTTCAGCATATAAACAAGTAAAATTAATTCTACCGTGTCAACAGAGACGTTTATTTCAAGTAAAGGTTCTGCTGGATAGTCTAGAAGTTAAAAGCTGATCACTAATTTTCCCTCAATCTTTTTTTATAAAATATTTAAAGAGTTGTACATAGTAGAGATTTCATGTCACAGGTAGAGGGCAAAAATTTGCTGTTTTTCTTATCGTACCAAAAATTGTTTCAGCGATGGAAATTCGAATGAAACAGATTGAACCTTTTTTAAAAAAAGAACTGAATTAGGGGTGCAAAATCTTCCAACTTCCAAATTTTCATGCGTTCACCTACTATGACGTCACATTTTTCTCATTGGCTTTCAACACAATTCCCCTCCAATTCAAAAAGTGAGGACCTTTTCCTTCTTGTTTCCTTTAATTTTAAAAATCGAGCCCTTTAATATTTGCCCTCCCTCCACATTTTTGTGCGCCCTGGCAGGCGCATGATAGAACATTCTTTGCACCCCTATATTAAAGTTTCTCTGAATTCTTTGTCGTTCTCTTAAAAATGAATACCGCGATTTCCATCTTCCTGAAAAAAAAAGAGGAGAGATTTTCTACTGAAAATTTGTCAAAAAATTCTTTCGAACACCACTATTTTTAAGGTTACCCAAAAACATAAGTTTGTTAATTGTGTTCCTCTCTCTCTCTTTACAGGTAAGTTGGTTAGTATTAAAGGAACTGTAATCCGTGTAGGAAATACTAAACTTCAAGCTACCTGGTTAGCATTTAAATGTTCTGGTTGTGAAGGAGTACAGAGTGTGAGACAACCTGAGGGGTCCATCGTGCAGCCTACACAGTGCCCAGAGAAGACTTGCAGAAGTAGATCTTTCACTCCTCTTCAAGATTCAAGCCATACCCAGACAGTAAATTGGCAGCTGATACGACTTCAGGAAATTTTGTCTGATGATCAGGTTTGTTGATCTTCCTCCGCCCCATAAATACATCAGCAGGCACAGGGATGCAATAAAAAAGTGATTAAAATATTCCAAGCAAGATTGCAAACTTTCGGCAATTCAGATTTTAAATGCCTTACCCTAGAACTTAAAGAAAGAAAAAACATCTTTGCAACGGTAAAATTACTGATTTGTTTTTCAATGCTCCATCAGTTCCTTTTGTCAAGAGTATTTTATGATCTACAAGAGTTTCTCTCTGGCCCATATTTTGTACTTCATAAGTCTTGTTACTACTTAATGTTTTTTAATTGTTGTGCAACATCATAATATGTTTTTAAAATCAAAAAGGAGGGGTGGCACTTGACTTGTACCTTAGCCTCTGTCAGAGGCTGGCACATACAATTGTATTTGAATGAATGTTATGAAGGGTGCAGAATATTTACATTAGTAAAATCAGATAAAATCTTGCACTAAAAACCCGCAATGTCTATTCAGCTCTGGTAGATGAAAAAGGATATTTTACATGGTGATACAAATAATACTACTAACTTTGTCTCGCTGCTCTCGGTTGCAAATGTATAAAATGACAATGAAGCAAAAAGCTGAATTAAAGTTTCAAAAATTCAACCAAGGTAATAGAGTTTAAGCCCAAGTTAGTAATTAGTCAATGATACATTATAATAAAGCTCAAATGTATGATCGCAAAAGAGAGTAATAAAAAAAAATCAGGTTACCTAGATCTGTTATACTCTAAACTTTAAAAAGAAAAGACTTTTTTGGGCTTTTACCCAAATTCAGCTGCTAAACATGAAAAATTCAATGAAAAGCTGAGTGGAGACCCTTAAAAATTGGGGTCAGGTCACCACTTAACTTTCCATCATTTCTTTTTATTTTACTGCTGAAAATAACCTAACCTAACTCAAGGCAATTAGCTACCATGATAAGCGTAACACCAATGTGCATCCATATATTTCAATGATTTTCTATTTTTAGTTGTGAAATAATGGTTATGATAACTTTATTATGCTGTTTGATTTGTTCCTAGCGAGAAGGAGGTCGTGTTCCCCGAACTGTTGAGTGTGAACTCACGGAAGATTTAATCGAATCATGCGTTCCTGGAGACCTCATCTCTTTAACAGGAATTGTGAAGGTAAGTCATTGACATATTATGGCACCCTAGGATAGTCTCATTTGGGCTTTGTCAGATTTTTTTTTTGTATGACACCCTAAATTGAATCAATTTACTCAAAAGAGATCATCTGTCAAGTTTGAGCCAAATAGAATGATTTTAACCTGTGTCCGTAAATAGATATTTTTATGTGCATTTACAGCTTGGAGAACAAGTCTTTTTGGAAATTATCAATTTTCCAGTAAATTGGTATTTTTTGCAAAAAAAAAAAAGCAAGGTAACTTTTGGTTTCAGCATCAAAAAACAGACGGAATAACACTCATGAGACATAAAAAAAAAAAAAAAAAAAAAAAAAAAAAAAAAAAAAAAATTATTTTCCCCTTCAGCTGTAAGATACCCTGATGAGATTTATAAGAGGGCACTTGAGGAACTAAAGTCTCATCAAATTACTCAAATCTGCGTAAAAAAAATCAATTTTCACTAAAAATTAGGTGATTCTTTATATGTATTACTACTTTTCGTTTCGGAATCTAGATAAAGAAATTCAACTTTAGCCTTCATAAATTTTGGGTAAACCCTTCCAAGTCCAAGATAACAACCTAGTAGGCGGTTTGTAATGAAAAAAATTTAAAGTTTTCAAATTATGGCGAATCTAAGATCAAGTCCCTGCTTTTGTAACTTAATGTGATTAGAACTCAAATTTTAGGTCAGAAATCACCATGGAGGTCATGATGTTGCCGAAATCCCAAGATGACAGGCAAAAATAACACTTAGGAGAAATACATATGTATTTATTTTGGATGCTGAGTGAGTTGTTGACCTTCCGGATTGCAGAATTCAAAAACAAGGTCCGTCACCTGATTCAACCACTAGAAAACTTTCAACGAATGTGTCTCCCCTTTTTTGTAGCTTAATCAATTTTTATTTTGTTTGTTCACCAGGTTCGAAACACAGAAGAATCAATGAAAAAAGGCAAAACTCCCAGCACATTCCAGCAATATATTAAAGTTGTTTCGGTAGTAAATGAGAAGAGCAATTCACAAAATGCCCGTAATTCAAGCACCTCTGGAATGGTTTTTGATATCAAAGACTACTATGCAATTCAAGTGAGCATTTCTCTTTCTTTCTAAGAATATTCAAGTTGATCAAGCTTACTCCCCCAAGTTTTTTTTTTCCTTCTGCAAAACTTGAAATGTTCTCTTATATTTTATCAATAGATCAATGTGATTTTCTTTTAATTTGTTTTAAAATAATGTACCAAAGTAAAAGTGATAATGAATCAAACCCAAGACTATTGATATTTACATCTATTGAAGAAAAACATTCTATTTTATGTATTTGTAACTGTCCACCAAAAAAAAAAGAAAAAAAAAAAAAAAAAAAAAAAAAAAAAAAGAAAGAAAGAAAGAAAGAAAGAAAGAAAGAAAGAAAGAAAGACAAGAAGAAGAAAAAACACTAGCATTAGTGCTGAGGAACTCAAATTTGAAATTTTGGTTCTGCAGTCTTTGAGAAGTTTTTACATGAAGTCTATCAGAAAAAAGCCCCAAAGTGTAAAATTAAATCAGATTTTTAACAGATCAAAGTTTGCGGTCAAGACACATGACTTTGAGAAAAAGCTCTTAAAAGGTTTAATTCTCATGCACAGAACTCAATATTGTCAAATCAAAACGTAACTCTACACCCATTGTACATGAACTAGACCAGTCATAACATTTACTCAATTAAGAACACCGGGGAGTGTTATCCGCAAGGAACTTGGAACTTTGACAATTTTAAGTTCCACCCAAAAAAATGGCTTCTCTGAAAAAAAAAAATACATTCCTTCATCTCGCAGCGGTCACATCTGATTTTGTTGTATCCTCAAAACTTGTGTCAGAGAACTGGGCATTTCCTGTTGTTTACTTGATTGCGTCCAGAAATTCTAGAACTGAGGAATTATTTATGATTTCAAGTAATTTGTAGCTCCATTTAAGGAAAAGTAATATTCTGACAGGGGTTTTTTTTTTTCTTTCAGGAAATTCATTCAAATAAACACTTATTTCGACTATTAGTTCATTCCCTATGCCCAACAATTTACGGACATGAAATGGTGAAGGCTGGATTACTCCTTGCATTGTTTGGTGGCGCATTGGACGGCCAAGGTACAAGAGGTAATCCACATATTCTTGTCGTTGGTGATCCAGGTCTCGGCAAATCCCAGATGCTTCATGCTTGTGTCTCAGTTGCACCCAGAGGTAAGCTCCTTTGCTTTTTAATCTTACTTTGGCTCCATCTTGTTTCTATTTTTTATTTTTGTGTTATGTATACACATCTCCCAATCATTTGCCTCTTCAGTAGTCTCTTGATAATTCAGATTCAAGAATACAAGAGATTCGTTTGACTCATTAAGGTTTGGATCTTACAAAAGTTTGAATGAAAGATAATCCTTTTGGGAGAAATCATAATCAAGGACGTTTGAATCATAGGAGACTAATTCAGATATTTTCGTAGCTTTTATGAATAGAGTCTTGATTACAGTGAAACCATGAGTTTAAATACTAATATGTACCGTCATTTCTGTCAAAATGTTGATGAATTGATAAATTTTTGCATTTTTGAAGACAAATATTTCTTCTTTTATTTTTCATCAAAATCTGAAGGCATAAGCTTCACCAATCATTCAATTGATTTTTAACTTTAGTTTGTGTACTAATGATTCATTTTAATTAAAACTTTTATCGAGAGATGTAATTTTTTATCATATGCTGACATGCACATGTCATCTAATAATATTCAGATAGCTCTGAGCAAAAAAGATATCAACAGTGAAACTCCTAAACTAAGTATCTCATTTTGCAGTATTTGAAATCTCCTCTCTGTTTTATTTTTTTTAAGGAGAACAAATCAATATCATTTTTTGAATTTTTCTCAGAATTTGCTTTGCACAGAGAAACAAAATCACAGAAGCTTTGAAAATTGATGTCAAGTATTTCTCCATTTGAAAATGAATTATGTCAGGAAGTTTGCAACATCGAAAATTGAGCTACGAGGTTTGGGAGTTTCACCATCGATGTATCTTCTGTAAGTCTGCTGTAAAAATTGAGAACAAGTTAGCTGAAATTTTCATCGAACTGTTCTATGTCGAAGTTTTACCCAGTCGTTTATCCATCACCAGGTGCATACGTTTGCGGTAACACAAGTACAACTTCTGGTCTAACGGTAACTTTATCAAGAGAAGGTGGCGGTGATTTTGCCTTGGAAGCAGGAGCTTTGGTTCTGTCTGATCAGGGTTGCTGTTGCATTGATGAATTCGATAAAATGTCTTCCCAACATAATGTAAGTGATGAGCTTGTAAACATTTTCAAATCTACTCCAGTTTTTGAACCAATGAAATCTCATCTCCTTCCTTTTTGCCAAAAGTTTAACAGGAAAAATGCTCAACGCTATTTCTTGAACTCTTCACTGATTTATCTCCTCTGCGTAAAGAGTATTCTATGGAAATTTCAAGCAATTATGTTGGTTTGCTCCTTTCGATAAAATATAATGAGGGCAGAGATTTTGAAACACCGCTATCCGTTTTGCTGTTGTTTTGCTTTTTCAGATGGATAAAATCACCATTCATTTTTTTTTCTATGACTTTTATTACTGGTTTAATCAGACAATAAAACAAATATGTTTTCTTTACTTTTAAAAAGGCTTTACTTGAAGCAATGGAGCAGCAGTGCGTGAGTATCGCTAAAGCTGGTGTAGTGTGTTCTCTTCCTGCGAGGACGTCTGTCCTTGCCGCAGCCAACCCGGTTGGTGGCCATTACAATAAGTCAAAGACTGTAGCTGAGAACTTAAAACTAGGCAGTGCTCTCCTCTCAAGATTTGACCTGGTATTTATTCTTCTTGATCAGCCCAATGAGGTAAGTAAGTGTTATTATTATTAGGGCCTCAGGCATTGTTCCTCTGCCTATAACATTTAAGTTTAAAAAACAATCAGAAAAAATTACGCCATGGAAAAAGGAAGTAATTGTGTGGCTAACTTATGTCCTTTGGAGATATCATGGCTAATATGTTATTTCTGAACTAGGCCAGATAAATTTGTTTATTTTTGGATGATGCAATCCATTTTTTTTTTTTTTGTGCTTTAATTAAGTTAGCTTGCTCTAATGACCATGTTTTCAAATATCTGAAGACTTAATCAAACATGCCAATTTGTAACTTTCAAATTTTTTACTACGCCAATAGTTTTGTTGATCTTTTTTTCTTTATTAAAATTTTTAGCTCCTTGATAGTTTACTCTCTGAACATGTCATGGCAATGCATTCAAAAGGAAAACCAGAACCTGGGTTATTAATTCTGACCAATCCAGATGGGACGCCAAACCAGTCGCTAGATGGAGGATCTGGTGTTCTAAGGTGAGCGTAAATAAACTTTTAAGAAAATATTTTAACTTTTTTCCTCTTTTGTACCCGCCTCAAAATCCCTTTTTCCAGCCTAAAAATATTTCTCTTGAGTTTTTGGAGGAGAGGCTATTTCAGCTTAAAACCATATGTTCCTCAAATGGGCTCTAGAGGGTTTCCTCATCCTTTGTCCCCTCTAAAAACCAAAGAATCTGGTCTGAAAAATTTTAAAAAAAGTTAAATTAAATGTAAGAACCCTGCATACCTATGAAGGCTTGGTGGCCTCTACTAAATTATGATGAAACTTTAATATGTTGAACTATTGTATTACTGTTCATTTTTAAAGTCTCGCTAATTGTTAGAATATTTTTTTTTATTTCCTAGAAAAATCTGTCGTCTGATATAAATTTAGTGCAAAATTTGACGTATGCACATCATTTATTCGATTTAAAACATATGTGTATAGAATGTAGTCGCTTGCTTTATGGACTTCATAAATAACTTTCCTTCTGATAAAAATTTTTCAGTTCAAGTTTAAGAATGGTTGATCAGTCACTAGAACCGGTTCCACATCATCTCCTGCGAAAATATATAGCTTATGCTCGGAAGTATGTCACGAATCCAGTTTTATCCAAAGAAGCTCGTTCTGTCCTTCAAACATTTTATCGTGAATTAAGAGGACGATACCAACCTGCAGATGCCACCTTGGTCACAACTCGGCAGTTAGAATCTTTAATTCGTTTGACACAGGTACTACCTAGATTTCAGCATATTTAATACATTTTCTCACCAAAATTGCAGTTTTTCTGTCCTGTTTATTGTATCTGTGAGCTGAGCAGCAGGCCCGCCACAAGGGGGGGGATACTGGGTCCCTGGTACCGGGGCCCGGGCCCTGGAGGGGCCCGTGACGCAGGTGACAAACCACTACGAATTCATGTGTAACCCTTGTCTCGTAGGGAAAAGTGAAAAAATTACCCTAAAAATTCCGCAAAAGGTGAATAAAGTTTCAAAAACACGCTAGGGCACTATAAAATTTTTCTTACTTTTTTAGAGATTTTCAAGATTTTGAGTACATGTAGAATGATATTTTTGAAACTGTGTTTCATTTTCTTCCGTTGTCGGATGCTAAGAGGCTCCTTTCTGGGCATCCTCGACTTCAATGGCTTAACTCCCTTGCCATAGACGTACGAAAGGGGAGTCCAGGGGGGCCCGGCTCTCCATAGAATTGAAAATTATCATCTGCCCCCTCAAAAAAAAATTATAGATGTTTTGAATGCAACAATTCGAAAGTTTTTGGTGCTGAAAGTAAACAAAAAGGTGTAATTATTCTCCAGAAATTGATGGAAAATCTCCATCATAAGAGCTTCATAATGCGTCCAAATAGATTTAAAATTTCAAAAATTTCCCGGGGGAAGCCCCCCCCCCCCCCTGTGCTAGGGGCCCGGGCCAGAAAATTGGTACCAGGGCCCGAGATGGGATGTGGCGGGCCTGCTGAGCAGTTGAAATGGTAAAGGCGTCTCGGAAGGACTTACAAGGGGAGCTTCCCAAGTGTAACCGGAATTTCGAGTTGAAATTTCGCATGAAGATACTAGAGATGATTTTAGGGATGCCGTATTTTTTCGTTTTTTCGAATGGGGTCGGGAAAGCCCTCAAAAAAAGGGCTAAAGATGCGGAGAAAACGCGTGCGCTAGCGGCACAAGGTAAACGTAGGTGATAGAGGCACCACATCCATCAGCACCGCATGGCCAAAAGGTAGCGCGCTCGCCTCGCAGGCGGGAGGTCCTAGGATCGAATCCTGAATACAGCTCGTAATTTTATTTTACTTTATGCTTGTTTATTTTTCACTTACTTTATTTTGCACCATTCGCTCCGCAAACCGACTTACGAGGTAGAACACGTAGTGACTGAAGATTTTTTACATATGCTGATAAAAACTCGAAGTTTCTCTTGGATATAATTGAATAAACAGAACACTCTAAAACTCACCAAATTTCGTTGCCAAGCTGAATTTCCGGAGTATCAGTCAGATACGGATACAGATTCGACTGATACTCCGGAAATTCAGCTTGGCAACGAAATTTGGTGAGTTTTAGAGTGTTCTGTTTATTCAATTATATCCAAGAGAAACTTCGAGTTTTTATCAGCATATGTAAAAAATCTTCAGTCACTACGTGTTCTACCTCGTAAGTCGGTTTGCGGAGCGAATGGTGCAAAATAAAGTAAGTGAAAAATAAACAAGCATAAAGTAAAATAAAATTACGAGCTGTATTCAGGATTCGATCCTAGGACCTCCCGCCTGCGAGGCGAGCGCGCTACCGTTTGGCCATGCGGTGCTGATAAGGGTGTGGTGCCTCTATCACCTACGTTTACCTTGTGCCGCTAGCGCACGCGTTTTCTCCGCATCTTTAGCCCTTTTTTTGAGGGCTTTCCCGACCTCATTCGAAAAAACGAAAAAATACGGCATCCCTAAAATCATCTCTAGTATCTTCATGCGAAATTTCAACTCGAAATTCCGGTTACACTTGGGAAGCTCCCCTTGTTAGTTACGCAATATGTAACAAATATTTCCTCACTTTTTTCAAGAATGTGCCAAGAATGGAAAAAACAAAAGAGGAAAGAACAATATTATTAATCTTTGTTTAATTTTAATTCACCAAGTCAGTAGCCAAGTGAATTACCTTCCATGTCAGACTCTTTCTCAAACCTTCTTTTCTGTTTTCATTACTAGGCTCGAGCAAAAGTTGAGTTGCGTGAAGAGGCAACTGCGCGAGATGCTATGGATGTCGTTGAACTGATGAGGTGGAGTTTGATTGACAACACGAGTGCTATTGAGTTCCAACGCAGTGGCTCCGGTCAGAAAACAAGGAGCAAGGTACTTGTAAAACCTTTTTAAACTTCAATGCATCCTTTATCGTAATATGTATCTTTTTTGTAAAATCTTCAACCAGAAAAACAGGGACACATTTATTTCATGTTATGCAAGACAACAGTATGTTGTACCTCATACTTGTTTGCTATTTTGCATATCAAAGTAATTATACTTAAATTTCAAGGTTCGAAGTTACCAGAGTGGCAAAGACAGTAGCATGCATTGTTTTCTCGCAGGGTAATGTGGTCTTACTCCTGTTTCATCTGAAGTAAGAGCAGTTTTTGCACTTTTACTGCTCACTCACAACTCTTATTTTTTGCAAACAAGACGAATTTACCTGTTTTAGCGCAGTTATTCAGTTCATTTACATCAGATCAGTCCAATTCAGGAGAAAACTCAATTTCGAAAAATCGGTGGTTTCTGCTCTCTTCAGTAACGTGACAGATCAATTTCATTCTGTTAACGACTTCAATCAATTTCTTTCTCTTTCTTTCTTCGACCTTCGTGCAATTTTCTTTTCAGTAGCCTGCAAACCTTTCTCAAGCTTCCAATAAAATCGGAAAAAAATGCTACATTTTCTCCTTCCAAGATCTGCTGTAATAAGTGAGCATCTAAATTTTTTGCTCTTTTATCTTCTTTTTCATTGTTTCCTCTTCGTATTTATTGAGTAAGATTACCTTTTCACCTCATTAAATACTTTAACCCACTGTTTGCCTAATGTTTCCTCTTGTTTATCTTTTTAGTCTGAAAGCATCTCTTATTTTATTCTACAAATTAATTTTCATATTTTCTTTTTTTAGGCAAAGCAGTTTATTCGAGCGCTTGAACAGTATGCAGAGCATCAATCAAAGAATATCTTCTCTGTGAAAGAAATGAAAAGTTTTGCCCAAAATATTTCGATGGATACAACTGACTTTTACTCTTTTATCAGTAACTTGAACACAAACGGGTTTTTACTGAGTAAAGGAAATAACATGTATCAACTAGCAACTTGTGGCTAAGTTCTAGTTTTTTTGTTGCACCCTGATCCATCCATCAAGTTTCTCATGGAATAATTAATGTAATCCCAGCAAATTTAATTTCCCATCTTAAAATAGAGGTAATGTCAGTAAGTGGAAAGTGAAACTTCTTCACAAACGCCTTACCTATTATTAAAAGTCTTTAAATGTTGCCAACACCCTTTTACTGTCTCTCATTTACGGTGACTTAGGGCTAGTTCTATCATCTCTGGTCAAACCACTAGTCATGTTTGACGAGATGACAAACACAAAAATTTAAATCCTGGTCTCTGATTGGCAAGTGTGGCAGTCAACCGCACAAGCTCATCCATCAATTCCTTTTATTTCTTTTGTTCTTTTCAAGTATTGTGCGTGACCTATAGCGACATCTTGTAAAACCGATTTTCAACCGATTATTGCATGGAGTAGATTAAAGCTTTAGAGGTAATGCGGCCAAAGTTGGTAGCATTTTGTTGCTGTTTTTCAAACTAAAATAACAAATTTAACTGTAGGCTAAATGTGACTAACAAATGATGATAGAACGGATTCTATTTTGACAAGAGGATAAGTGCATGATTCCTGGTCACGTATCTAGCAGATTTGACTAGAGATGACAGAACTAGTCCTTAGTGCCCAACAAATGGTAACTCTGTTCATACGAGTAGAACTAAAATAAGGGTTGGTTACTAGGTAAAAATTTCATGAAATAGAGGCGTTTGAGTGCTTACTTAATAAGTAAAAATAATAAAATGTCTAAAAATTGGTAGTCATAATCGCTGATTTCTAAGATCGCTTTGATCTGCAGAGCTTTTGAGCAATGCTTCTTTAAATTGTTTCCAACTCAAGACGATATTTCCATTATATCTATAGAAAAAAGTGATTGTTTCAGCTATTTTGAGTCCTCATAAAAGAATATAGTTCCCATAAACTATTTTTATTTATTTGTTTGTACATTTATATATATTTTAGTAAGTATGTAAAATTTTCTCAGTTGATAAAAATGAGGGCTGTGTATTAGGTATTACAATTCTTTTTTAAACAATAAGTGTATAATATTTTGTTTTTTGATACAAATAAAATCAGCAAATCAACTTTTTGTGGGATTTTATTTCCGCCAATTTATTATAGAAAAAGCCACATGAAAATTACTGGTTCACAGATTCTCGTGAGTAGCTTGGAGAGAAAAGTTTTTGAAGGCAAGTCTTCTCTCTGAAATACTAAATTTTCCTGGAAAAATGAGATGTTAATCAAAGTCAAAATGTATTTAACAAAAAGAATGTTTTATTTGGACTGTACAGAGTAATATTGTAACAAAAATAATGCAATAACACTAAAAATAGATCGTTAAGAAACAAATCTAAAAACACAAACAATAAGTTTTGCATAGGTCTTTGGTTTTCCTCTTAAAATGCACCTATCTTACAAAATTAGTAACAAACACAAAAAATGAAAGGCAGACACTTTATTGAAACTTTTCAACATTGAGCATTTACCAGCTTTTATTGATGTGAAAAAAAAAGAAAAAAGTGAAAAAACATTAAAAAAATTAGGGACTCATTTTTCTTCTTTCATTCTTTTACGGAAAGTAGAAAACTCTGATTCTCAGTTTCTGACATCGCACAAAAAAGGATCGACCATGCTTATTTTAAAATATCATTTAAGTGTTAGAATTGCCCTCCTCACCAGTCAAACTGTTGGATGTTTAGTCTAATTTGTCTCTGCCATGGTCTGCCCTTACTGCCTACACGACTTATTAGCCACATTTGTGTTCCGCGTTATTCTAAAATAGAGTTGTTATGGTGTAGTCAACCAGTGTTTTCCTCGTTCATTCACCACACCCATAAATAAATCAGTCATCTATTGTCATTTTTCCCCAACGACCGTGTTAAGATCTGAAGTGGACGTCTTTCTGTCTATAACACAATAAAATATAATGCTGCTATAAAATCGATGTGATGGTACTCATACTGTGATGTATATGGAAATGAAACAACACAACATTCTTATATTTTTGACAGATTTTGCGAGGAGGTGTTTAACAGCTAGTCAAAAGCTTTAAAGTGGAGGTGATATTTATCTTTTTCCAATGTTCCAATAATTTACTGATCAGTAATTTTCTTTCAGGTTGAAAGGTTTCATAAATTTATCAGGCAATCGCTATTATTGTATCGACCTGATGATGGACTGAAAAGTCCGGAGTGATTATAGTCTGAACTTCACAAATTTAACAATCAGGACCAAAAATAAAAGCAAGTCTTTATCTTGATAATTTTTTTTGAACTGCAACATTGTTTCAGAGTAAGAATTTTTTTTAAAAAAATTAGACCTTTTGTACAATTAAAAGATAAGTAAAAAAAGAGAGTAAGCAAAAGTTTGCCATTACATTTATTCTCATATTTTGGACCCCAGATCAGTTCCTGATTTAATATCCAAATCAAACGGAGAGAAAAGAAAGTTGATGCATACAAAAAAGCCACCTACGAAGTGTCCTGAAAATCAGCACTGAAGAGAAACCGTCTGTAACAGCCGTTCACTATTCATCAGGAGGAAAGTACGGAAAGTAACTTTCTTCTTACTGAAAAGTTTCGTCTAAGCTCTCCAGAATTGCTGAAATGAAAAGTTTGCCTTGCTTATTCTATTTCCATTATTTTATTTTTTTTTATTTGTATCTGCTCGAGAAAAGGCATTGTCTGTTTTCGAAAATAAAAAAATAAAAGGAGACTGCAGTGATCTTGCTGCTCTTGCGATCTAACTTCAGGTGATTTCGAGCAATCGACCATATAATTAAATTTTTCTATCCTGCTGTCTAAATGGATTTATAACAATACTTGCTCCCAATGAATACGTCCTCCTTGTGTGAAAAGTTGTTTAAAAGCTAAAAATAGTATGAATTTCATACTTGAGTGACCCAGTTTATATGAGAATCTCCTCAAGATTTATGGCAAAGACCAAATATAGCACATAAAAATACCTTTGTATGCAATTGTCAATTTTGTAAAATTATGTGTGGTTTTGTGCAGAGAGGTAAAAAGATCCACCGCTAAAAAGCTATCCAAAAGCTAACATGAGAAAAAAAGGAATTAGAAACTTGAAAAGTTGTTAATAATTTAGAAAGTACACAAAGACACTGCAACTTTGCTAAACTATATTTTGCAAATTTATGCAGTTACATAGCAGTACTGGTTTGCCTCATAGAAATTATTAGGTCTCAATTAATAATGACACCGACACATAACATGTGCAACAAAGTGAGTCACAGAAGCACTAAAAATCTTACAATTAATGTTGACTCATTACATTAAAATGGCATTTAACTCTTTAATACTATTTTCTGATCAATAACATGATTTTTCAGAAGCACTATTTTCTTATTTTTTTTAGAAAAAAAAAAAAAATTGATAAGAAATGGATTTTGCAATAACAAATTAGGTCCATGTTGAAAAATGAAAGCACCCCAATATTATTTTAGTGGATAGATTCCTATTAATCACACCATGATAGTTAAACAAAATAAGAATTGACTTCATAGTAACTACAACATAAAATGAGTTAAATAAGACAATTAATTGTGTGATGGGATCTTATAAAACTAGGTATCTGAGCTCTTGCCAAAACAAGTTCGGTTAAAAATTCAATATTGACAGGGTATTCACGGGAACCCTGCACATTTACACAAAGGCACAATAATATCAGTTAGCACAGAATAACGATTGACTTGTAGAGATTCCTTATAAATAAATTAGTATGGTGATACAAGAAAATAAATTCTGTTCCAAAGGTACTGACTGATAAATAAGTTGTGACTGGGGAGGTTTTACTGATTACTTGTTCAGAATTGACCTTATTTCCTTCTGAGCTGCCCCTATCTAAATCTTTGATAACAGCAGTTATTTGAGACACTCAGAGCATCGCAGTGATTTCCAGACTTTGCATTTTCGCTATTATAAACAAATACATTTTTCTATAATTTTTAGAATAAAAATTGATACTAAACACTTTCAGTATTCCACGTCTTTTACAATCTTTTGAATAAGTTAAAAATTACCTAGTCCTCTAAAGACAACGGATGTTCATTAAAATTGAGAAAAATATTGTTTTTTTCCCTTTTTTATCATTTTTGAAGTCTTTTGAGAGCAATGTATATGGCAACCCTGCAATTACGCCGGTGGTCCACTTGCGCAACAAACCAAAGGACCCTTTCTGTTTGACCATCCTAATGCAATACTGTATAATATACCTACCTATCAATGCTGTGTGAATATACCTACTCTCGTCCTAGCTTGCTTTCTGTTTAAATCCCTTACAGAATAAATGTTCTCATGACTCTACATCATATCGTCCTTCCATTCTTCTGTGAAACATACTTAACACTATCTAATTACTTTCAGGAAGTTTTTAATGTACGGTGGATGGGCACTGCTTGATCCAAACGAAAAATATATTTAATTACAATAAAAACCTTTGTAATCAAATTCAAAGTCTTTACCCCTCAGTGGATCCTTAGTAAAATCAGAAATCTGACTTTAATTAATGAATAGAAGAAAACCAGTATTCCAGGAGACTTGGAATGAAATTGTTTTGATTTGTTCATAATTTTGGGCATACATATCCATTTAAAGTCATGATATGGAGCAAAAAAGTGGACGTATTTATGCTAAAAGGAGCTACATATAAGCATAGGGTTACATGGTTCCTTTTAGCATTGATATAATAATAAATAAATATTAAGAAACGGTCTTGGAAGTTAAGTTCTGTCAATGTCCCAATGTTGTTTGATGATAACTACAGAAGGCGTAAATCAACATCAGGAATAATTGAGAAAAATTCGAATTGATGTACTTAAGCACTGGCACTCATTTCGGTAAATTAGATTCCTTTGAATTTTCACCAAGTGGAAATGTAGGTATCAAATAAAATTCAATTGAGATAATTGACTCTCATTACATTGAAATTGAATGAATTGGATAGAGTTTTATAAAATGAGACAAGATTCTGAAACAATTGGCGCAAAAAAAAAACCCAAAAATTGAGTCTTTAAGAGCATTTTAAAGTTTGGTTATAAGGAATCGTGAAAGACAGAAAAATGCTGGAAAGTTACAAGACAATGCAACTGGAATAAGTCTGCTTCGGCATTCATCCAGATGATGTTATATTCATATAATTTCAAAATTTTAAATCGTCCTTAAAAATGTCGAAAAATTAACCGTTTCGTGAAAAGAAAAAAATCATAACTTACAAGGTTTGCTTCATGTAGAGGCAAACAGATGATGGCACTCAGCTTATTCACAAAAACCGCACTGCTGGCAGCTTTGGACTTGATTTACTCCGAACTTTCCAGGAATCTTTTCAAGTGTGAATTATAACATAGAATTTTGACTCAGCAGTCTGTAAGGAAGCGGATATTCTCATATACAGGAAATACATAATTTTGAGTTTGAGTCAAATATTTTTGTTGTACTGAAAATTGTAAGTTACCACCTCAAGTTCTCACTCCATCTCATATCTTGAGGCAGAGTCAAGTCAAGTTTTATGAAAAATTTAGATAATCCTAAGAAAAAGGAATTCCCTCCAGATAAGAGCCTAACAATAGACTTCAAAATAGGAGGACACAATCAATATAAAAATAGAAAATAGGAAAAATTAGGACGCCTAGAGCCGAGTATTTCCTCTTTTGCTTGAGTGACTTTTCCTCTAAAGGCCAATGTAACAGCTACAAAACAATATAATTTCCAGTTCTACATTTTAGATTTAAATCTGTTGGTAATATTTACTACTCTACTCTATATCTCGTTTAGCATCCTTTTCTGCAACGAAATTTTCAACAAGAGAACCACCGAGTTGAGAATCTAAAATCCATTGTCAATAGTCATGAACTTGGATGCGTTGAAGAAGGCATGTTTGGCAACCATTACTAAGGATAGTCGTCCATTCATTGCATTGAACGGTGTAGGCTTTCAGCTGCTTGCACAACCCATCTTTGATACGCTGAAAGGAGAAGGCTCCGTATCAGCCAGGACAGACTAGGATTTGATCCCCGAGAAGGAGGAGAAGGAAGTTCCACAACCTTTAAAAGAAGAGCTGAAAAGAAAGTATCTGTCCTTAAAAGTGGACAGTCAGTCGTTTAAACAAACTCCTATTGACCCTTCCCAAATCCAAGATAACGGACCACAACTCACCAATAAATTTAGTGAACTACCAGAAGTCTCTTCTTCGGAATCTTTAGAAATCTTAGATTTTTAGATCTTTTAGAATCTTAGATCTTTTAGAATCTTTAGAATATTTTTTTCTTTAGGAATCGGTGTCTCACCGATTCCTAAACCTCCCCCCTTTTCTATTGAAATTGTAGACAATCTTAAAAATTTAGTCTCAAACTTTCACAGGGCCGGTGCTAAACCGGATTCCTTTGTAGTAAAAAATGATGGCCAATACCACAAAGTCACAGTCGACACCCCTCAAACTTATAGACTAATTCAAAAATATTTAGAAGGAACTGAAATCGAATTCTTCACCCATTCCCTCAAAAATGAAAAAGCTCTCCGAGCCGTTCTTAAAGGAGCCGATAACTCCTATTCTGCCGATGAGATTAAACAGGAACTTGCTAGGATTGGTTTTGAGGTAAGATCTGTCTACTTTCTTTGTCTCAGTCTGAGGTAAAATCATCAGACTCATGGATTATGTGAAACTGCAGCCATTTTGTTTATGTGGTATATTTATTTTATTTATTCAATTTTTTTATTTAATGTTTTTATGCTTGTTCATTGTTAAAAATTATTCAATTATATTTATTTATTTTTGAATGTCACCTAAGCCACTAAATGTAAGAATATTTTTATTTTTTTACATTAAACGAAAAGGGAGTGTATGTACGTAAATTACCACGGATAAGATGAGTGCCCTCTGTAAGAAAAACAAGAATGGAAAGCAATTTCCGTGTAATTGAGTTTTCTTATTTGAAATTTGTCAACTGCAAGCTTGTTTTTAAAATTTTTCTTCATTGAATTTTTATTGGGTATTAAATATTTTGAGCAAATTATTCATTTTGTATTGTACTTATTTTAGATTGGTTCGTTTCCTAAACAAAATATAGTTCTACCTATGTTTAACTGCAACCAAAGCTGCTAACTGTAAATATATTCTCTTCAGCATCAAACCAACAGGATACTAGACGAGATACAGAGTGGTTCATACTACCAACAAAATCATTCCTGAATGTTCTGCAGTTTCTACAGAAAATCTTGAAACAAGAGAATTCCATCATTTAAAGTGTATGTACTCGTCTTTGAATTTGAGTTGCCCTTTTTTCTTTGACATTAAATTTTCTATTTTTCAAGCCTTAAATATTGTTGTCTGCACTACATAGCAATAGCGACACTAATCCCCTCACTTGAGAAATTGGGATAAGTAGTTATCCAGCAGCTCAATCATCAGCTTCTAACCTCAATCTACTTAATAAAATCTAAACATTTGAATAGAACAAACAAGTCATTAATGCAATATGACAGTCAACGAATCTTAGTACAGTTGTATCCTTATAAATCTTTTTAAAGCAGAAACTCAGATCAACTTCAATAGGGACTGAGAGGGCTAAGGCTTTACAAGACTGCAGAGGAATAGACAATACTTTTCCAAATACTATGAACAATTTTATCGGAGCTTGAATAAATGCTCTTTAAAATGGTAATAGGAATGTTTAACATTTTTTTAACAACTGTATGAAGTTTCAAACATGACATACCAATGAAATTTGGAAGTGTGTGGAGAAAACTGTATTGGTCAACCCCATTTAAAGTTGTTGAAAAAACTATGAGATTTAATTTCTTCAGCTCTTCTCGGTCCAGAGCCTAATCTCTCCCTGGGGTCATATTTTAATAGCTGAAAATAAGGAAGCACAAAGAGTATTAGTATAAAAATACATGTTTTCCCTTTCTCTAGGGGAAAAGGAGCATATAGAAAACAAAGAGGTAGTTGCAGTTTCCAATTTGTTTATTTTAAGGCAGAGGTGAATGCAATATGACGTCTTTTCCTGCAAGGTGAGGAAACAAACGCGTTACATCCATTGTTTTGACATGATCCAAAACAAAATATAACTTTCAGGCAATTTTCATAAACTCTTTTTTCAAAACACCATAACTTCATCCTTTTCAGTTCAAATAAGCTTATCGAGGGTGTAAGGCCGCGATCACATATCCCGGTTTGCGACGTCGCAGTCTTCCTGTCATACTTTATTTTTTAAACGGAAAACTACTCAACGGCAATTCTTTAAAACTGCCGTGATTTTTCTTCTCTGTGCGAAGAAAATTCTGCAAAAACTTCAAGGAATGATGAAGATTTGTTTTCCTTTAAAAAATAACATAAAGGCGGAGATTTTCAGACACCGCAAACGAGATATGTTTGTCCTAATAAACAGCTTTTTACCACTTTTAAAAGAGGCCAAAATCAACTTAATATAAAGCTTGGTTTCTGAGTTGGAGAACCAGTTGGTATCATTCTGGGGTACCCCCAAAAAAGGGCTGTACCTCATACTTTGGGTTACTTCAGCCTTGAAAGCTGGTAACTAGCTAAAAGAAAGACTAGAGCTCGCCGCAGATTTGCCTCCGACCTTTCAAAATTAAATTATTTGATGGTTTTGATATTCCAAAGCATCCGCAAAAGAACAGGGAACTGAAATACCTGGGAAAGGAGTGAACTTCCGCTACTGGAAACAGTATCTGGAATGTTAACCACCGTATGAGGATGAAAACCTTCAGGATGATGACTTGACAAACTCTGCAAAGGAAAATCGACGAAAGAGTGAAAAAATTTGTCGGTAATTATTTGAGTAAGCTTAGAAAATTAAGTCAACAGAGCTTAAAATGTAAAAGAAAATCTGTTGAGGTCTTTCTTTTTCCTCCTCATATTCTCACTTTGATGGAAAAATTACACAAAATAGCCACATTTTGTCCAAACCAGAGTCATGGTTATAGAAAAATACTTAATTTTGTAAAATATTTTCAAAGAGATGACCTCTGGAGGATTTTAATTTCCAGCTCATGTTGTAGAACATACAAGTATTTATTTTAGCCTCAAGAACTGACTTGTAGACCATTTTACGTTTGACTTATGGAGTCATAGACACTGAAAAATACACCAAAAAAAAAAAAAAATGAAAAATGAAAAAACTTATTCTAAATGTAACTCTCTCTTAAATTTGAAAATTCCTGCAGAATTAGATTTTCGATTCTGTATTCGATTCCCAGTCAGATGACCCAAATTTGTTGGTCTCAAAACAACGGTTGTCTGAGGCTAGAGTGCAGTAGGAACTGCGGGGCATGGGACTCTGACTGATACAGCATAGGATTACTTCTTGTGGGGTGCTTGTAGTATTAAAAAAACAACAACAACACAATCGTCACCTGGAAGTCTTTTTAGTCAAAAGTCACAACATTTTCTAATATCTGTCCTTAGTTTTGGATTGATCAGTTTTGAAAATTATTGGTAAACATACTATACCTCTCTTACATAAGAAAAAAGGGTATCCTTACCTTCCCACTTAAAAGATGAAACAAGAGAACACCATAGCTCCACCAGTCTTGGGATTCATCTGGCGGAGCAGGAGGAACCACTAATAACTCAGGAGCAACATGATAGCCCTCTAAAACAACCGAACTCCAGATGGGCAGAACTTTACTATGTCGATAAAAATACGTAAGTTTGATCTTCCCATCATGGCTCAAGAGGATGTTATCAGGATGTAGGTCCCTGAAGAAAAAATCGGAAACATGGTTACAAGAACACTCTCGCACAAGATCTCTTAGCCGAACCGCTCAAGTTGGAGTAAGAAGAGGGTAAGAAGATAACAACAAGAACTGTTAATTTAGAAAAGTTATTGAATGGTTTGATTAAATGAAAAACGAAACATAAACACAAAACTTTGGTAAACATTCTTTGGAAAACTGCTGTTACGAATTACAAACAAAAGTTATTTTAAAACCACGTTGAATATATTGACATTTCCTGTCAACATCATTTCAGCTACAGGAAAGCTAACAAATTTTTGCTTCTAACGTACAGCTGATTAAATTTTCTGGACTTTTTTCCATTAAAATGATAGATTTTGGAAGTACAGTAAGAGGTTTCAAGCCTTGAACCTGTAGATATGTAGTTGCAAAAATAAGAAATAAAACACTTCAAACACTTGTTTCCATATCGTTCAGTTTTGAGAAATGAATCCCAATAAAGGGTCTTCCCTTCAATGTCTTGTTGAAGACTTTTTTTTGGTTTACAGAAACTGTCATAAGCAACTTGCAATATAAAACACGCTGTTTTAAGTTACTTTGTTTATCATAAAATGTCAAGCATCATGTAAAAATACTTGCCAACAAACAATGCCTCTCTGATGAAGATTTTCAAGAGCAATGAGTATTTCAGCAGCCCAAAGTCGAATTTTATCCTCCGTGACAGAAACTGGATCAGCAAACAGCATATTAAAATTGAAAGTCGAATCTTCATTCATCACGATCTGAAATGGAAAGTTTCTTTATTAAAGGTCAGCATTGAATTTGCATTAAGTTACATTGAGAAAAATCCGAAAATTTTTAGTCCTGAAGAAGGCAATTAAAAATGCCATACGTTAACATCCAAAGGAAAAGGAATCTTCATCCATGGATGCAACATTTTCAGCACAGCAATTTTTGTCGAGTCAGTTAAAAGAATTGGATTTTGAGATTTCAACGGAAAACTCTTTGAAACGTCTTACAAGCCGTAGTGTGAGCAATTTTGTCAGTTTTGGTGTACAAATTAAACGTAAAGTTCTATACATTCTAAGGTTCTAAAGTTCTAAACGTAAGCGATTCTGTGTACTGAACAAGGCAGATTAGAGTTTCTACACGCGTTTTCTCAAAACTACGCTTTTTGAATTTAAAAACGGCCATAACTCCGGTTTGGATGAACATTTTTTGGCATTGATAGTTGCAAAATGTTTATGGATCACTCCTCTGCACTGAGATCCCTTCTCCTGTAGACGACCTTGCATAGCCTATTTTTGGCTTTTTTAGGCTATTGTAGGGATTATTTTGTGCTAAAATGTTTAAAATATACTCCTGTACACAAAGCTTTTACTGTATAAATTTGGAATTCATCAGCACTGAAGGCTAAGGTCCCTGATGTTGTGAATGACTCTCACATCTATTTAATAAAATAGGCTTTGAACTTTCTCCATCATTTTGAGATGTAAGTCAACTCCAGAGGATGAGGTCAATTATCAAAGTAATATGTTAAAAATCAAAAGTTTTCAATTTTATACTATCAGTATTGCACTTTACAGATTACCAATCACTTTTTCCCTCCCAGCTGAATTGAGCCCTCTGATGTCACGAATGGATGGCATGAGAATGGCGTACCTGTGGTGACAAAGCTGCATGTTCTATGTTTGAGAAAGCCGTTTTCCAGTCATCAGATTTTCTCCGAGTTTCACGTCTGATTGTAGTGAGATCAACAGTCAAATCATTATTTTCCTTAAAAATCAGTCCAGACCTGTCCTGAGCAAGCTTTCTTCCAGTGTTGACTGAAGAAATATTGTGCTCATTTTCTCTTTTCTTTTCAAACAAGCCTTTTTCACTTAGAGTACTCCTTAAAACAGGTTTAATGGCAGCTGAGGCAGCAATACTTCTCGAGTCAACAATTGCATTCCTTTCAAATATACTTTCAAAACTAGGGTGATGTTTAATACTCTTTGTGTACTTAGTGACTTTAGTTGAATGGGAATTTTCATTATTCACTTGTTTATCACACTGTTGCAATGTTTCATTTACAGAGTCTAGAAGCTGTTGAGCTTTTTCAATGAGATCATCCGTGTTTGTTTCTGTTAGGGTAATTTCTTCTGCATGATTTGGATGAGATGGATCAAGACTCCTCTCTGCATCCTCATGATGTTCATCTGTCTTTTTATTGAGAACAGCTTCAATTTTGTTGAGCACCTTATAACAACTGTCTTTGATTAACTCAATATCACTATCAGGGTTAATTGCACTTGCATGGTCATTTTCATCATAGCCATTACTAACTGAATGTGAGTCACATTTAGAAATCCTCGAGCTGGTTTCCTTTAAAGAAATTTTTTCACTAAAACTAAAGTCTAAATTGTTTTCCATTACTTCTGTCTTACTACTAGAGTCACCTTGATCTACATATTTTGAGCTTGCATCGTCCAAACTCTCACTAATTGAATCTATACTGATTAAGGAACTATCGAATTTGTTACTAAAGCTATTGGATACTTCAGAAGAGGTCAACCACTTTCCATCAGTCACGGCTGCTTCCGATTCAGATTTAGCACCAGAGGAGGTTAAGTTTGAGGTAATATCTGGAGTTGATTTGGAAAAGGTCTCTCTCTCTTTGCTTTCCATAAAGAGATCAATCTTCTTCATTAGTTTGTTGAAATTATCCTCTTCTTGTGACCCTGTTTCCAAAAGAGGCGTTTCATATTCTAAATGCTTGACCTTTTTTTCAAGGACATCATTGAAAGTTTGCTCTTTATTCAGAACTTTGCTAGGAATACTGAGTAAACTAGTGGATATTTTTTGAGATTCAGCACGATAACTGCGTATCAATTCAGAATAGCTATCTTTTTGACTAAATTCACTACTGTCTTTGAATTTATTGGAATGCAGAGGACTACCAAGCAGGCAATTAAATTTTGATTTTGTTGCAAGAGAGTTTTGTCTTTCTGGCGGACCTGTTGGCGTCTCTTTTTTTTGAGATCTTTGATTGAAGTAATTGGTTAGGTGGTCCCATAGTTTTACATGTCTGAAAACGAAAAGGAAAGAAGAAATTAGAATTTTAATGCAGGCTTCAAACTAGACTTTTAATTTCAACACATTTGGAGTCTATCATAATTACATGTCAACACTTTCAGAGTGAGACCTTTCAAAGATTTGCCATCTTGAATCTTCTATTTACTTTTAATGCTAAAAGGTGATAGCCGCTGATCAAACTGTTGCAGGTTCGAAGTGTGTAAACTTCTTTGGCACAGGCTGAACAGCAAGTAATTTTTGCTTCTTGAGTAATATGATGCTAAAAATATATTTACTGTTAAAATATGTTGAACTCTCATCGACAAAATCCCTCCATTGAGAATCCAAGATGAATTTGTTTTGTTTTAAATGATAAAAGATGGAACTTTTAAACACCTTTTAAAAATGAAAGGAAAAAAACGTACTTAACATATTCCAAAATAAGGTACAAAGATGAATCTGTTTCCACAGCATGGTGAAGGCGAACCATATTCGTAGTACAATGTGGTAAGATATTGGCCTTGTTCCAGTTGTTGGAGTCAACACTCTTAGGAACACCCTATGATAAAAAAAAAAGAAGAGTAAAAAACAAAGAAAAAAGATGATTTTTTTTTTGCAAGGCAAATCATGGAAAAAGGTTATGAGAGGAGTAAGGGTTATTTGAAAATTAAGTTTTCATATTTTTCCTATAAGACAGAAAAACAATCTTAGTCGAGCTCACGTAAAGCTTTCCGATAAAAAATGGATTTTGAAAATGGAATCAAGGCTTTTGCTGGGTGAGCCATTTTTACCTAGACCGCCTGTTTCTGTCATTAGCCGTTTCATCTCATTAAAGATAGTTGAGTCTCAGTACGATTGTCAAGGCTTCGTTTTCTCAAACTAATGCTAACTTGGAAATCGCTAACCCTTCTTACTTGAGTAATGTTAATCTTTTGTAAGGGTTTTTCCTCATTTTCACTGGTTCAACTCTCTATTTTAAAAATCATTGATTAAAATCTGAGCAAATTTGTTGAACAGTCAACAGATTACAAAGATTCTTTCATGATTAAGTTGGCTGACAAAAGGAGCTTCCCATGCAGCTGACTCCTGAAAGGTTCAAACTGTGTATTTCTATCGCAGACTCTTCAGATATTATCATTAGGCACGAGTTTCAAATGATGATATTACCTTTATGAGATAAAATTGCTTGCTGATCCTGTCTTGAACATACATGAGATGTTTGAGAATACCAATGATTTGAAATCTGCTTAGATCTTGTTGACGATAGCTGATTCGGCATGCAACATCCGAGTCAAACTAAGAAAAAAAGAACCAAAGTTTTTGACATTAAAATCTCATCTATACAAATAAATAAGTAATGATACAATAAACAATAGTACGGTTTTTTCCTAGCTCACATAATTAATAATGCAAAAGTTGTTCGAAAAGTTTTTTGCCCCCTCCTCCACCCCCACATCCTTAACAATTAGTCCAATTCTTTGATAGTCCTAATTAGATAGCCCTTGCATTATCGAATCATTGAAAGAATTGGTAAAAAAATCAGTGAATTTTGAAAGATCAACAGCTTTGCTCGGGAATCTGTCCTACATACTAAGCAGATATACAAAATCAATTTTTACAGAAAATGAATCTTCTGACTGCAACAGAGGATGAGCTTCCTTATCCACAAAATTGTAATTGGACTCAACAAGTGAAACTGGAATTGACTTCACACAGCTAGGAGCACAATATATAATATTTAATTTCCTGATTTCTTTAAGATTGTGTAGCAACATAGCGATTGTTTGGTAATACTAAAAGATTGGATAGATAGATAGATTTAACACCTGGGGTACAAAGCCCAAAACACAGAAACTCTAAGGTGTTTATCGGGACCAGTTATCTCCTTGGGTTACATTTGTAGAAACTCTGTCCCCCTATGAAGGTGTGACAAAGCGCTAGCACATTCCGCGAGTGAAAAACAGTCATACAGTCAGTTGTGCCCAGTATTTCAGGTCTTCTCCTTTCCAGTGCTCTACATTCAAATATTATGTGAGTGATGTGAGATTAAAATTAACTAAAAAATTGACGCTACCACTAGCAAAAGGAACTTGAGAGACAGAACTGACCTGATTCAGACCATCTTCAAATTTTTCATGGATACTACAAGTAGAGGGAGCAAATTCTGAAACAATAATTGCAAGAAAACTATTGAACAAAACTAACAAATAACGCATGCATAAACTACTGCAGCTACACAGAGATCAAAATAAACTCTTCATATAATATTTAGTTCTGGAAAGAGCAGTGTGGTGTTCTAAGAAGCCTTGGAGATATAATTTGATTCACTCCTAAAATTTACGATTCACTAAAATTGTTTGCATGTGTAATAACCCTTCCATTGCCAGGCCAGGAAACTATAATATGATTGATGCACACTCTGATGGTCAAATTTTTGTTCACAGATGTTTCAAGCATTAGGTATCAAATTTTAGGTTGCATGTTGCATGTTTGATTTTATAGAGGCATGTAAAAGCTAGAATACAAAATGAGAATTTTTGGGCGTGTTATACAGCATATTTGCTGATTGCAGCACAAGACATCTTGGACATGATAATGAAAGGTTGAGCATATCCTAATTTCTTACGCCCTGACATTCCGCCAGAGTGAATTTCAGATACTTTTATTACAATTTATAGTGTAGGGTAGGTGAAGGTAAGAGTGCACGCTGGGTAAAAGTACGCACCGCCTTATTTGTGCGAGCTTCGTTTCAATTTATGATGGCACCGGGTGTTGGCTGTTGACAAGGTTGAGTATCACTTGTGGACAAAGTTTTGTGCGAAACGGATGTGTTTTGAATTAATTTTTTTTTAATTTCACAGTAAAAGTGGTTAGGCACTATTGGAACCCTTTGAGACCAGTTTCAGTCGTTTTCGGGGATTTAACAGCGATTTGGAGTCCAGGAGATGTTTTAAAAAAAAAATTCACCTGCGTACTTTTGCCCCATTAAATGAGGCAAAAGTGGGCATTTTCAAATTTTTTTAGACAATTCGTCACGGCCATGGATTTGATTTCTAAATTCAGACAACGCAAGGAATTTGTGCGCAAGGGCTTGCAGTAGGTGCCTGGCAACTTTTCCCACCTTGAATGTCGATTCTGTCACAGAAATACTGGAAAACCCAAAAAATGCGTACTCTTACCCCCACCTACCTCATAATAGGAGAGTAGGATTAAGAAAACCTTTCCTGCTTGGAACACAAAGGCATTCATTAATCAACTATTTGGACAAACCTCCCCGAGCTGATAATGATACTTGTGAAATCAATAGATGGGACACAGAATTGAAGATCACACATAAACAGTAAAGACACTCACTGAATTTTTGGTCCCTTGAACTTTCAAAAATCATCGGCGAAGGCACAGACCCAACAGACTGATTACTTAACAAACTATCAGCGGACAATTTTGGGTGATAGGGTGATTCTTTAGCATCAAACTTGAAATGGGAAACTGAATCAGAAGGAGAATCAATAAACGGCACATCGACACTCTGCAAAAATAATAACAACACCATTAATGTGGAATTTGACAATGCATTAGGGAAAATTGGATCTTTCCAAACAAATAAGATGTAACTGACTGACTTTAAATGTTAAAAACATGTAAAGACGAAAGACAATTTGATTTTTCTGACTTGGTAAAAAGCTATTCAAACAACAGCCTTCCCTTTCTGGGGAAACGCCATCCAGATATGTTTGATCCTCGTGTTAATGTTTGATCCTCATATTAATGTTTGATCCTCGTGTTTATAAGCCCACTCTGCTAAATTAAACCCCTTCTTACACGCCATGTAACCAAATAGAGCTACTTACAAAAATTTCACATGGGTAATGTGCTATCTACCTACAGCAAAAAAATGGCTATTTGATATTTTATCCTTAATGTGTGCCAGTGTTTGGGTATAGAATCACTTAAAGCCTAGCTTTTAAATGAATAAATTTAAATTGAATCCAATAAAAAAATACATGCTTTTATTATTAAAAAAAAAAAAAAAAAACGAAGAGAAAACATCAATATGGATAGTCTGTTATACCAATATAGATAAATACTGCTAAGTAATGTTTAATTTGAGAAAATGTTCAGTCATTCAATGATGTTGTTTTTTTTTACAAAAAAAAAGCAATAATCTTGATCATCAAGAGAGTTGAAAGCACACGGGGCTTTACAGTTGAGGCCTTATACTCGATATGCAAGTGAGGCAACTGCTACAATTTGCTGCAGTTTCAGACACAGTTATCGAGAGCAAAATTAAGCTAATGGAGATGAAATTGTTACTCAGACATTCATTGGTCTTAATTCTACATTGGGAGAGAATTTTGAAAAGAGTTCCAATCCAAGTAATGAGAGTAAAAGTTTGATAATTGTTATCTGATTATAGTACTCACTAAAACAGAAGAGTAGATGGCAGAATCATTATCTACAGCAGAACTACACCTAGAGTCAGTAGAGCAGTGGGATGCACTATCACTGAAATTTAAAAGAAAAGAAAAAAACTTTGATGAGAACAAAACTTCGATGATGTGAAAGTAAATTTATTTTGAAGTTATACAGTACTTCAAATTAGGAGTAGACAGCGATGGCCAAAGGTTATGAAGCACCAGATTTTTCCACATAAAAAACAAGTCTAGACGAATGTGTATCACATTATAGGACTTGGGAAATTCAGGATATCAATTCAGCACCCCATAGTAAACAGATAATTATTATTATTTTTTTTTTTAAAACAAATTGAGTTGTTGGTACCTTTGAGTTCTCCAATAATAGTTTCCGGTACTTACAGAAGTTGGTCACATTATCTTAGTTCTAAGTTATGGAGTCCCACAATTTCTCATTAAGTAAAATTGGAAACAGTGAGACTTGTGCATAGATTTTAAAGTGCATAAAATTAAGTTCCTGTAAAAAGAGTGGATTGTTGACTCAAAATATCTGATGTAATTTTTACAAATGAACAAATTAGATTTAAAACAGATGTTTTCAAGCAAGGCTAAAAATCAAAATTAAAAATAAAAAAAATGTAAATTTATTATTTTACCCACTTACTTAGGATATTTGTCCAAATCCGAACTTTTAGGCAGTGATGAATCGACAGAGGACACATCATTACTTCCTGAATCGTTTCCTGGTAAGTAGCTGTTTCCCTAAAAAATATGGAGAATATGGTGAGAAGCAGATAAAAAAGCCCCACAGGCCTCACGCTGGAGAACAACTATGACAACTGATGTAAAATACAATAGAGGAAAGAATACAGGTGTAATGGAAGATTTGACAAAGGATGAATAAAGATGATCTGACAAAAGGAAATGGAGAAAAAAAAAGCAATATGAGAGAACAGGATCAAAAAGACTTTCTGCATATTTTTTCAATCTAGAGTGTTTTTCAAGAATATGGTCTCTTGGATCAAAGATCTGGATATGAATATCCCTGAACGATGCCATGGAAGTGTTAGCATAGAAAATGGCAAAGAAAGAAACTAATGGGCCTGTTGCAAACTTTTGCTAGAGCAAAAATAAGAGTTGTTTCTTATAGATAATGCCTCAAAAATCACGATGAGCGCATCGGCAAAGTCTGAAATGCACTCATAACTTCACAGTCTGCGTAAGAAATTTGCGGTTTTTTGAGCTTCCTGCTTCAAAAACGATACTACGGCACAGGTGAACATTTTGTAAGAGGAGTCGTTCCATCGTCGGCAATACTCATCATGGCCGACGCCAATCCGCCAAAACACGTGTGATGGGACGAGATAACACCTGAACTGGATTAGACCAGATAACAATCGGCGTGTTAACGTTCATATTTTCCACGCCCGAATTGATTGACCTTGAACTCTCCTCGAATTACGCGCGGAACTGGCGCAAGCGTCGGCCATGATGAATATCGCCGACGATGGAGCGACTCCTCAATCAAAATGTTCACCTGTGCCGTAGTATCGTTTTTGAAGCGGAAGCTAAAAAAAGCAAATTTCTTACGCAGATTGTGAAGTTATAAGTGCATTTCAGACTTTGCCAATGCGCTCATTGTGATTTTTGAGGCATTATCTATAAGAAACAAACCTTATTTTTGCTCTAGCAAAAGTTTGCAACAGGCCCATTAAAACACTGAGTAAATGTCAATTGACCCCTTCATCCATTACACACTTCTTTTAATGGATTTAAAAGTTTTTTTAAGTTATGACTTAGCAGCAGTTTGTGCAAGGAAATTTCAGTGCTCAGTTCAGTAGAGTTCTAAGGAACTTTGGGGCTTCTGGATATTAGATCACTGTCAACAATTGTGTCCAATTTTTACTCGATAAGTTATTGCCGAAGTTATTCATTTTTATCAATACTACTGCAAGGCATGTCACAAGTCAACATTTCTGTTTGTTATGAGGAACCAATGAAAAGAAGTTATCACTCACGAGCTCACCTGCAAAAATTTTGTGAATAAATCAGAGGTGAACAACAGAGAATTGTCGGCGATGAATTCCAGCATTGTGAGCACTGCCTTCCGTCTGCTTTCAATCACTGATGGGTCAAACCTGGTGCAAAAAAAAGAAAAAAAAATAGAAGTAAGCTTAGAACAAGTATAAAGAGAGAATCGCTGAAATTAATCACTGGTAGCAAGGAAAAAATTTAAATCCTCGGGGGTGAGAAATCATACCCCAATTCTCAAATTTTAAAATTTCTGCGGTTTCGTATTTTAAAAATTGACAGAGATCTAATCAACATTTTCCATCAAAACATTTTTTGAAAATTATTTCTAAGACATCATTTAGAAAGAATTCATCTACCTACATAAAATTATACTAAATAATAATATTTATTTCAGAGTGCGAAGATGCTACTGAATTTTCAAAAAAAAAATTCTTTACACTCAAAAAAAGTTACTGAGGTAATATTCATTCAGTTTTCATTATTGGCACCTGATGCTTCGGTAAATCTAGAAAATTGAGTGATGAAGAGTAGAAAATATAAGAGTTTCTAACATTAATAGTCACACATGTAAGAACTTAAATCATACAGACTGAAAGATTTCGAGCATTAACCTCTTCATGACAGTACACCAAATCTCATTCAAAAAAAAATCCATGGATGCCTTGGAATTCTTCTTCCAAGAATTGAGGCTGACAACCAGAATCAAAGCCAGAAATAGACAAAGCGGAATGATTTACTGGAGTTGGAACCTAGCTTGTGACTTTCACAGAACCTGAACCGTCACTAGAACTAATATGATTCAACCAAAGACTGCAATTAAAAAGGTTCTACGACATTTCCAATTGGTTCCCTGAAACTTTATGGGATATCAGAAGTTTCTCAGGGATAGTTTCACCTTTTAGGATTTGATTTGAGGAGTATGAATTTCAGTTTAAAAACATTTGCATACATTTTCTTGCACAGTTAGTCACAAAGGAGAGTTCTGAGTACAGCAATGGTTAGAGGAAGAAAGATAATGGCATCTGCCATATTTTTGAGTATGATAAAATAGAGGCAAATCTGTAAAACGTGAAAAACTAGAATAACCAGAGACCTACAACGAACCGGTTTCACGACCTTTTATAGAATTGAGCTAGAACACAAATTTCTGAACTGCCAAAGCAATTGAATTGGAACGTGCGAAAATCCCCAATGTCCATTATTCCAGTCTCAAGTTTTTTTGACTTCATGATACTTCTCGGAGTTGGTCGCAACCACGAAAATGGCGTTAAAACTTGTCTTTGGGTTTCCTTAATCCCAAAACGAGTACCTTCATCGCTTTTATGGTTATATCAACTCTTTGAAAGTATTATGAACTCAAATAAACTTAAGACTGGAAAAATGGACATAAGCGGTTTCCACGTGTCCCGATTCAATTTCAAAGTCCATTTTCATTCGCAGCCCTGTCAGAAATCTCATGTGCTTACAACTTTCTGCTCAATAATGCTACTACAAGCTTCCTTGTGAAATCAGGCAAAAACATATTAAAATCATTCAGAAATATACTTTTTCAAAATATTGACTTGGTAGCCTTTACCTTTTAAAATATGTAGCTTTTTCCAGACGGGGAAAGTTTTGAATTTTCAAGCTTTTACAAAGCACTTTAATTTCTTCATGTAATTTTTTAAAGTCACTGTATCTTTTCCATATGATGACCTTAGTTGCTGCCTCTGGCATGCCGCGTGGAAACACCTGAAATGAAGAATGTGATCAGACACTGACACACAGGAAATTTCATGGATTTGACTTTTTCTTTGAATAAGGGTGAGTTTGAGTGATGTTATGAATCTTCAATTTTGTTGTAGTGGTGGAGGATTAACTACGATGTGATGCAGGACATCTGAAAATGAGGAGTAATTAACTACAAGACAAGATACTAAACTGTTGCGATAGAGTTTGCCTCAACTACTATCCTGTAACTCTGGTAATGAACATAAAGGGATTCCGAAATATGTTTTGTAATGGTGGGCCAGAGGGCATACAAATTTCTTGGCCTGCCTGTTTGTGATGGATCTTCACTCCTACACTTTCCAAAATTTTGAACTAAGTGGCCAGAATGTTCATGTCACGTAATCACCAGTGTCCTAGAGTCATGCTTGCGTAGGGCAGCTTATAGGTTAGTATCCGACAATGAGCTCTGGGCCATTATCTGAGCAAAAACAAGGACGAGAAAAATAAAAGGAGATTTAAATAAAAAAAGGGTTTTAAGTTAAAAGTATAACACTTACGACAGATGTCACTTTGTATATTGTGAACTGTTTGGCATGAAGAGTGGGGTCAGTTACTAGAAATCGCCGAACCCACTTATCGTTCTTGTGAGACATTTTACTTATCCCACATTGCACAAAACAAATTTGCTTTACCAATGATAAATTAAAATGGCAAAAACGCGACCTTAAGATAAAACAGATGCCTCATTTTGCCGTGGGAAATTGTAGAAGTTGATACCAGACGCCAAACGTAATCACCAAAACAAACACAACACAGAATTTTATTGATAAAGAAGTTTCTTAACTCGTCACTAGCAGCGCTAGTTGTACCATAACATTACCATAACCTAAAACCTCAAAATCAAAACTAACGTGGCGCGTTCCGTTCTCTTCAATCTTAATTTAGCCTTAGCCCAAAATATATTCACTTATCATTTTAATCGTCCTGCATCGGGACTTGCATAACAAGTTCCAGCCATAGAGTTCACATTTTTATCATGAGATGAATCTTAACGTGTTCAGATTTACTCCTTTCCTCAGAGCAAGTAGTTGACCACCGAGGAGTTCTCAACTGGAATCTACTTGAATCGACTTGCCTACATTCGCTTTCAAGGTGAGTTAACTAGATCATTGAGCCTTTCTAAAGTCTACCTTAGGACTAATTCTTCTTTAGCCCCTTAAGACTTGAGGCGGTGGGCACTGTCACAACACCACAGGACTGCCCGGTGTTGCTGTACCTGCCAGGTTCTCAACGGAAAGAGTTACTAAGAGCCAGCAGGCAGATTATTTAAAGTTTAAAAAAGCCCGATAAGATATTGAAACAGGATGTATTGCATGGTTTAGATAGGGCTATGTCTTGTCTTGTGCCGACATAGTTTCAATGACTGGACCGCAGCCTGTGTGCAAGGAGTTGCCATACCCAGGTCCAAAGCAGGACACCCTGTAAGTCATGCCGGCCAGTAGTAAACAGAATCTGTCTAAATACCATAGAAGGGCAGGAAAGTTAGCATTTATCGAGGACTGCTCATGAATTGCACCACATCGAAAGTTCTATTTCTAACTCCTTGCAGGACCAGATTCAATTTCTTCTGGAATAGGTACATACCGCTACCCATAATGCAGCATCGTTTTATGAACAAAATTTGTCTGGCAAAGTTCCTCCATACCGAACACTTCCTTTTACTTAGCTCTGAATGTTTGGAATTCAATTAGAATACTTAGATTGCAGCTTGGAACACTTTTTAAAAGTTATTCTTATGATTTATCTTATTACCTACATGTGTTAATTGATCTCGCCTGTAAAAAACTTTTTTCCAATAAAATAAAAAATAGTTGATGATTATGTCATTCTCCGTTTTATAAGAATTTTGATCCACCAGAATGACTGAGACTGAAAAACCGCCACCTGGAAATTAAGCGAAAAGATGAATGTGGAAAATGGGAACTATCTCTGTTGGAGCTCTTGATGGCTCACAAACCATGTGTGCAAGCAGGTCTGCAGGCTGATTATTGGCAAAAAGCAGCTTAATAAGACATCAAAATGTGATTTATTGAATGGTTTAATTAGGGCTATGTCTAGTCTTGTTGTGCCAACATAGTTTCAATAATCAGACTGCTGTTTCATTTCTCGTCATATTCCATTTTCATATTCATTATTTAGTACTTGTGAACAAAGTAAATGAGAATACACTGAATCTTCTTGAAGTGTATGTGTGAGGACTTATATGTAACAATAGGGGTTGTCGAGTTTTCATGTTGTGAGGAAATCGTGTTCGAAATTTTCGAAGCTTTTCACTTTGGCGCCCGTAGAACTGAGAGGATTCTTATGAAAATTTTCATGAAGGGCAACTCTTCCTGTAAAAAACACGCATTTTACGATTTATGTAAGTAAAAAATTGAAGGAGTAACAGCGATTTGAAAAAAATGTAACATCCGCTATTTTTACTGAGAATATTTTTTTATGCATGAAACAAAGTCTTTAGGAAGGGTAAGGCTGGTGAATCGATTGAAATGAACTATAAGTAAGTCAATGCTGACTCATTTGACAATTCTGGCGAGACGGTCCCGATACGTATCATTTGAGTGTCAATTGCAGCCCATGGCCGGTGCGTGGGCAGTTATCGCAAGTGCGTTTGAATCTCCACGGTGTCCTGCCGCACCGGCCGGGAAGAACAGTGGATTTTCATGCCCGCTGTTCTTAAAAATAACATGGATTTCAGTTCCTACCTTGCCGAAAAATTGCGCTGGTAGTCTGAAACTTTGCACAGGCATTCTTGAGGGCTTCAGAATCCGAAAGAAGCATTTTCCTTAAAAATGGTGGATGTCAGCAACTGCTATTGTTACATGTAAGTCCTCATATGTCTCAATGTTCTCCCAGTTTTCATTTTTTGAGGAATGATTATTCTATATTCCAATGCTAGAGTTTTCCTTCTTAACAGTCAACAACAATTAGACTAAAGTTTGACATCAGGAGCCCCTAATTTTGGCTCACCCACTAAAGCACTTATTTAGGTCGGGAAACTGATGACACATACGTTGTGTGTGAAACAGGGCTGCCGATACTCGGACTCACATTTCACGAATTTTTTACTCACACGCTACTCACCAATCTAAAATTTACTCACTGATCCCGATTTTACTAACTTTTACCCACCGTTCTCAATTTTACTCACTTTTTACTCACCCTTTCCCGATTTTACTCACATTGACATTGTTTTCACTCACCGATTACTCATCGTTTTAAATTTTACTCACCGATTACTCACACAAATAGCGCCAAAAATGGAGAATTACTGAGAATTACCCATGGATTTTGCATTACTCACGATTACTCACGGATCGTCGGATTACTCACCAATTACTCATTACTCACGTTTTACTCACCGGTGCTCAAATTACTCACGATGTGAGTAATT